GCCCCGGGCCCCGCCAGCGGCCGCCCCGCCTGGCCCCGGGGGCGGCGGGCCCGGCCCGGCCCGGCCATGCTCGGCCTGGACGTGTGCGAGGCCGGCGGGCAGCTGCTGGAGCTGCTCTGGCTGGCGCTGTGCTACCGAGGTGAGCGGCGGCGGCCGGGGGGCAGCGCCCGGGGGCGGCGGGGGGCATTGCCCCGGGGAGGGCGGGAGAGCATCACTTCGGGTCCCCCCAACAGGTGAGCATCCCCGGGCACCGGGTGCATCACCGCGGGCCCGGGGGGACCGGAGAGTGCCACGGGGGAGCCCCCCGCTGTCCTCCTGCCTGTGGCACCCCCCGCATGTCACCCCCCTGCCCTGTCACCCGTGGGAGGCCGGCCAGCCCCCGGTGGGTTCATCCCTGGGCTGGGAGCCCCCCCACGCTGCCGCGACAGTCGAGGGCAGCCGTGGTGGGGGGCCCAGAAGTGCAGCAAGGCCACTGCTCTGTGTCCCGGTCACTGCCGCTGCACTGGGGACCTGCAGCCCTGTGGCCCCAGGGGCTGAGCACGGTGGCCCCTGCCCCATGCTGTGTTCCCAGCATGTCCCCAGGAATGGCGTTCTAGAGGCTTTGGGGAGCTCAGTGCTTGCAATCACAAGGAGTGGAGGCAATGCAGTGGGCAGGGAGAGTCAGGGGCTGTGGGGACATCCCCCACCCTTGTGCCCCCCAGCAGCCTGGCAGCACCGGAGCCACTGGTTCCCCCAGAGATGCCTTTTTACCCTGCAGCTGCTGGTGGTTTGGGTTTGGGGTGGGAGATGGGGCTGGTGGCTGCCCAGCAGGGTTGGAGGGGGCTGTAGGGTGGTGACAAGGACCTCTCCGTGTGACACCAGAGGGGCCTGTGGGCTGCAAGGGTCTGCAGGCACCCCCTGCACTAAGCACACCACGTAGGCACCAGCTCGTTTTGCTCCATGACCGTGCTTAAATGCAGCCGGCGGCAACACCTCTGGTCTCAGCTGTGCCACCAGGCCCTGGGGACACCGAGCCTGGCGCTGTCCCCACTGCTCCGGGCAGGGGAACAGCTCCTCTGCCCCACGGGGATTGCCCACATCCATCCATGGCGTGTAACAGCTCAGACACCCCCTGCCAGCCAGCGCCTTTGTGTCAGGGCATGGGGGGTGTCCCCTGGGGTGTCCCCGGGGCTGCCACTGCCTGTCCCCCGCAGACATCATGGCTGACAAGGAGGGGGTGACGCTGTCGCTGGAGGAGGAGGAGGAGGATGCCGACGTGGCCCTGGCGTACAAGACGCCGGAGAAGAAGAGCCTGCGGGAGATCCAGGAGCTGGACCCGGGGGATGAGAGCCTGCGGAAGTACAAGCAGGCGCTGCTGGGTGCCATCCCTGCAGCCGTGGGTAAGGCTGGGGGCTGCTCCGGGGGATATGCACCCTGGCACTCCGGGCCCCCAACACCCCGGCACCCCAACACCCCGGCACCCCGGCTGGGTGATGATGCAGCTTCGGTGGCTGCAGGGAGCTCGGGAATGCCCAGCACCCGCGGGGCATTCCCAGCAGGGAGGACACATCCCGGCTGGCATCGCCCGTGGGCGCTGCCTGTGCCCCCCACCCGCGCAGAGACCCCGGCATCCCCTGCCGACAGGGTACCGGTGCCCGGGGACCCCGGTTGCCTTGGTTACGGGATCACCGCCGCAGTTTCCATAGGAACGGCTACAGGGAACCGGGAAATTCATGGCGATGACGGAGAGGAACGAGCAGCGGGGGGGCCGGGGTAGCACGGCTGCCGGTGCCCAGACGGTGCCCCCCGCTCTCCATGGCACCCACGGCAGCTCCCCAGCCTGGTGCTGGCCTGGTCTGGGGGGGCTCCACGGGCCCACCACCCCGGTGGGCATCCGTGGGTGCATGGGGGGGCTGCAGGCTGGGGGGGGAGGTCCGTGCAAACCAGTGGGGTGTGTAAGGGGTGCACGATGGTGTGTGTGTGAGCTGGGGGGTGTGCAGGCTGGTGGGGTGCAGGTTGGGCTGGTGGGATAACTCAGACCAGTTCCCACTCCAAGGGATGCCTTTACTGCACATGCTGCATCCTCCTCCTCTGCCTCTGTCCTGCTCCTGAGACAGGGAATGGTGCACCCAGGGACATACCCGTGTCTGGGCCCTTTAAATATGATTTTACCCCAATGGCACTGATGCCGATGTTGGGGTGACCCGAGATGCCCTGTTCTCCTGTGCCCTGCCTGGCTGCCTGGCTCTCCTGGTTCTAACACCCCACTGTGGCCCTTCCTGCTGATACAGGGGCATGAGCAGCCCCTCAGCTCACCGGGGTGGAGGTTTCAGTGGGCTGGGCATGGTGGGTAAGGCCTGGGCCCCGCTGTTTGTCCCTAGATGCCAGCGTGCCCAACGTGCAGGTGACAAGGCTGACCCTGATGTGTGAGCAGGCGCCAGGGCCCATCACCATGGACCTGACAGGTGAGCTGTGGGAACACCTGTGGTAGGAGGAGGAGGAGGAGGAAGGGGTACCAGGCTGATGGACCATTTCCCCACACAGGAGACCTGGAGGGGCTGCGGGGCAGGGCCTTTGTGCTGAAGGAAGGGGTGGACTACCGGGTGAAGGTGTCCTTCAAGGTGAGCCGGGGGTGTGGTGCCCTGTGCCTGCTGCCCGGGCATAGCCCTGCTGCCCTCACACCCCAGGGTCCCTGCCCCAAAGGGTCCCTGTTCCATGGGTCCCTGCCCTCACACCCTGGGGGCCCTGCCTGATGAGGTCCTTCACGAGGTCCATGATCCTCATGGGTCCCTTTTCCCACATGTCCCTGCCCCAAAGGATCCTTGTTATCCGGGGCCCCTGCCCTCCCACCCTGGATTCCCTACTCCAAGGGGTCCCTGCTTCCCATGGGTCCCTTTTCCCACATGTTCCTGCCCCACAGGGTCCTTCCTGCTGCCCAGTGGTCCCTGCCTGCCCCAGGGTCCCTGCCAGTTGGGGTCCCTGCTGCCTTGGGGTGTCTGCTTCCTACTCCTTACCCACAGAGTCCATGCCCCTCTGAGGGTCTCTGCCCACCCTGATGTTCCTGCCCTCTTGAGGGTTCCTGCCACCCTGGGAATCCTTGCTGTCCCCAGTGTGACTGCCACCCGTGGGTCCTTGCCCCTCTTGAGGGTTCCTGCTAGCCCAGAGTCCCTGCTCCTCCCAGAACGCCCACCGATGTTGGGTCCCTGCCTATCCCAGGGGTCCCTAGAGGTCCCTGCCCCTCCTGAGGGGAGATCCCTGCCCCCTCCAAGTCCCTGCCCCTCTTGGGGGTACCTCAGTGTCCAGTCCTGACAAGGGGCTGGATCCTGGAAGTGGTGCATGTCAGGATGGATACCCCAGAGTGGTGAGGGCCCCACGTTCTGGGGCAGCACCCATGGCACCCCTGCCCTCTGCCCGCAGGTGAACAGGGAGATCGTCTGCGGGCTGCGGTGCCTGCACCTCACCTACCGCCGGGGCCGGCCCGGTGAGTGGGGCCGGGGGGCTGCGCTGCGGGGGCAGGGCTGGGGGGGGCAGCGCCATCCTGGCCCGACTCACCCGCCCCTCCTCTCCCCTTCTCGCCCAGTGGATCGCGACGTCTTCATGGTGGGCAGCTACGCGCCGCGGGCCGAGGAGTACGAGGTGGTGACGCCGGCGGAGGAGGCGCCGCGGGGATGGCTGGCACGGGGCTCCTACCGCGTCCGCTCCCTCGTCACCGACGACGACAAGACGGAGCACCTCTCCTGGGAGTGGGGGCTCTGCATAAAGAAGGACTGGGAGGACTGACCCCCCCCTCCGCACCCCGGTTCTCCCCGCCAGCTCGGGGACGCGGTGCCGCCATCCCGGGGGACCCCTCGCCGGCACCGCCGCGCTTGCCCCAGTCGCGTGAAGGGTTCAGGGGGGTCCCTTAGCGAGTGGGCGCCCGTGGTCGTGGTCTTCGCAACCAAAGTTATTTTTAATTGCTCTTTTTTTTTAAATCTCAACGCCCGCCTGGTCCTCACGGCGTCCCCATTGCTGGGGCCGGGGCTGTGACCCCGCCGTGGTGGTGCCGTGCCCGGTACCCGCCCGGTCGCAGGCTGTGCTCTTCCATCGCCATTAAACCCTACAGACTGGTCTCTTACTGGTGTGTCTGTGCCCCCGTCACCTCTGCCCGTCCCCCTGCTTCCTGTCTCCCCCTGTCCCTGTCCCCATCCCACTGGCAGGGCCAGGTCTCCCTGCGGTGACGAGTGGCTGGAAAACAGCCACCTGGTCCCGCTGCCTTATCGACCGTGCTGGGCAGCCAGTAGCGGAGGGCCACGAGCCCCAGGGGACCGGCACCTCCCGCCCCAGGGCTCTTATCTGCGTCCTGCCCCCTGGAAAACGTCTTCTGCACCGGCACCATGCGGGGCTGCAGGTCCAGGCTGGTTTGGCTGCTGGTGCTGTCGCTGGCCTGGCTGGGCCCGGCGCTGGGGGACGAGGAGAAGGATGGGGAGGTGGTGGCAGAGGAGGAAAAGGAGAAGGAAGAGGATGAAGTGCTCTCAGATGAGATCAAGGAGGAGGACAATGTCCTGGTGCTCCATGAGCGCAACTTTGCCCGTGCCTTGAGCGAGCACCAGCTGCTGCTGGTGGAGTTCTGTGAGTGTCCCCACTGCGGGCAGGGGTGTGGGCACGGGGAGATGTCGGGCAGGGAATAGGGGCAGGGAGTACTGGCCGTGGCTGTGAGTGTGGGCAGAACAGACATATGGGCATTGGGGTGGAGGGGGGGGACAGTCAGGCAAGGCTGTGGGCCAAAGGGGCAGAAGCACGGGACACATGACAGGGCATGGGATGGGGACAGAGACATGGAGCAGGGACACCAACAGAGGCATGAGCTGGGGAACAAGTAGCAGGGGTATGGCACACAGGACAGGGACATGTGGTGGGGGTGGGGGACATGGGCTCTGGAACAGGGGCATGAGCTGGGGCCCAATGGGCTCATGCGGCCATTACAAGCCCATCCTGGGGACAGGGGACACCCCAAAGCTGTCCCCACTGCCAATGCCATCCTCTGCCTGCAGATGCACCATGGTGTGGGCACTGCCAGCAGTTGGCCCCTGCCTACACCCAGGCGGCCACCGAGCTGAGGAATGAGTCCAGCCCGGCACGGCTGGGCAAGGTGGATGCCACGGCACAGACAGCCCTGGCCAACGAGTTCAACATCACCTCCTACCCCACGCTCAAGCTCTTCCGCAATGGCAACCGCACCCACCCCCTCCCCTACACCGGTAGGGCTGCGGCACCGCACGGTGGCCGTGGCACCAAACAAGGGGACACTGCCATGGGGCTGGGGAGGGTGGCAGGGTGGTGATGGTGAGGTGGGTGGCAATGTCCTGGTGGGCTTTGCAGCGTGGTGACAGCGGGCAGGTGACAGTGTGGTGATGGTGCGTGAGGCGGGTGATGCCAGGCAGTGCCGTGGTGGTGGTGGCAGGTGACCAAGGCTGGTGGCACAGGGAGGGGTGGCAGCCTGGTGAGGGGTGTCAGGGTGACAGTACTGGCTCTGCTCGGCACGGCAGGACTCTTGGACACGCGGGGCATCGTGCGCTGGGTGCAGCGCCGGGCCGGCCCCAGTGCCACACTGCTGTACGACACTGACACCGCCAACGCCTTCGCCAGCTCCCAGGACTTGGTGGTCATTGGCTTCTTCAAGGTGGGCTGGGGCGGGTGAGGGCTGAACTGGGGCTGCAGCCATGGCCGTGGCACTGATGTGGGGACTGTGCAGGACCTGAAGGGCCAGGCAGCCCAGGCGTTCTACGATGTGGCTGCTGAGATGGTGGACATGCCCTTTGGTGTGGCGGAGGCAGCTGAGCTCTTCCAGGCCTACCGGCTGTCGGACGACACCGTCTGTCTCTTCAAGAAGGTGAGGGGGTGGCAGAGGGTGGTGGGGCCATCCTGGTCCCCACCCCAGCCCTCACCAGCCCCTGCCCTGGCAGTTTGATGAGAGACAGACAAACTTCCCCGTGGACCCGGCGCGGGGGCTGGACACAGATGAGCTCACCCGGCTGCTCCGCATCCACAGCCTGAGGCTGGTGACCGAGTTCAACAATGAGGTACAGCCTGTGTCCATTCCCATCTCTACGTGTGAGTGCCAAAGCCCCCTGCCCTCACCCTCCTCCTCCTCCTCAGACATCCAACCAGATCTTTGGTGCCAAGATCCCCCATCACATGCTGCTCTTCCTCAACAAGTCATCATCGGAGCAGCTGTCCCTGCAGGACGGCTTCAAGGCAGCCGCCAGCACCTTCCGGGGCGAGGTGAGGTGGTCCCATGGCAGGGACAAGGGGGGTGGCTGCGGGGCACCTCATCCTCAGGGTCACCCATCCCCTGCCCAGGTGCTCTTCGTGGTGGTGGATGTGAACGGGTACGGCGCCGACGTCCTGTCCTTCTTCGGCATGACCCCCGCCGACGCCCCCACCCTGCGCCTGGTCAAGATGGAGAACAACCGCAAGTACCAGATGGAGCAGGACTCCTTCTCGGACACGGCCATCCGCACCTTCATCCAGGCGGTGCTGGACGGCAAGGTGAAGGTGAGGGAGGCAGCAGGTGCCAGCCAGCACCTGAGGATTCTTCCCTGTGGTGAGCGGTGGGCTGGTGACTGAGAGGCCTGATGATGGCAGATGTGCTGCGAACACCAGCCCCCTGCTCGCTGATCCTTCTGCTGCCAGGCTTGAGGATTTGGGGGGTTGGTAGGGGAAAGGAGGCAGGAGACTGCTGATGTGGAGACACACAGAGCTGGGCTGGCAGCAGAGGGGCAGATGTGGTCCAACAGGCAGCACAAGTGCACCCCTGGCTGCGTGCTGGGGCACCCCTGCCCGCACTGTGCCCCTTGGGGCCCTGGCACTGCCCAGCCCAGCTGTGGTGTCCCGGCTGTCCCCACAGCCCCACCTGCTGAGCGCGGAGCCCCCCGAGGACTGGGACACGCGGCCTGTCAAAGTCCTGGTGGGGAAGACCTTCGAGCAGGTGGCGTTCGATGAGACCAAGAACGTCTTTGTCAAGTTCTGTAAGTGCCAGGGCCGTGGCTCAGCCCCTCCACAGCAGCCCCCAGCCCTGTCACAGACCCTCACCGGGGGGATGCTGCAGAGCCCCAGTCCCCCAGTCCATCCCCTGGCACTGTGCCCGTCCCGCAGACGCTCCGTGGTGCTCCCACTGCCAGGCCATGGCACCCGCCTGGGAGGAGTTGGGCGAGCGCTACAAGGACCACGAGGACATCGTCATCGCCGAGATGGACGCCACGGCCAACGAGCTGGAGAACATCACCATCCACGGCTTCCCCACCCTGCACTACTTCCCTGCAGGGCCGGGCAGGAAGGTACGTGGGGGGAACACCCCTGGGGTCACCCCGGCTCTGCCAGCACACGGGGAATGGGGTCACCCCTCGTCACCCTCCCATCCCATGGCTCCAGATGGTTGAGTACAAGAGCGCCCGAGATGTGGAAACTTTCTCCAAGTTCCTGGAAAATGGGGGGGTGCTGCCTGTGGAGCCTCCTGTGGTGAGTGAGGTCAGGGACCCCCCCACCCACCCCAGGGCAGCCCCCAGCCCCTGCTGGGCGAGGGGACGGATCCTGTGGGATGGTGATGGGGACAGGGGCAGGCAGGGACTGTGTGTCCATCCACGCCTCACTGTTGCCTTTTCCAGGTGACCAAGACCCCTGGGAACAGCACAGGCAAGGAGGATCCAAGTGTGCTGGGGACAGATGAAACCCGGGATGAGCTGTGAGCCCTGTCCCGCTCAGGCACGTGCTATAAACCACCTGGAAACCATGTGGGCTCTGGTCTGTTTGCGGCTCCATGTCTTGGGGAGCATCCATGTGTCTTGGGGGCACAGCAGAGCTGACAATGGGCAGGGCCCCCACTACTGCTCGGCCCTGGGCCCCCCAGGAGGGGGTGCTGCCAGGGGCCCTCTGCCTCCCTGGGGCAGCTGTGCCATAACACTAATCCTGGCAGCCCCACGATGACACAGGTTGGCCAAGGACAGGGCTGTGGGGGCAGCCCAGCGCTCTCCATGCTGGCCCTCGTGTTGGGCTGCTGGGGTTCAGGTGATGGGGGACCAACCAGGGTCTCTCCTTTATGGCCCACCAACCCCAGGGATCCCCAGGAGCTGCTGTCACATGCTCCCCTCAAGTCTGGTTCAGCTTCTTGGACCCCCAGCATCCCCTCCAAACCCCAGCACCATCCCCTCTCCCCTGGGCTATTCCTCCAGGGGCAACATGTTGGTCCCCTGGCGCCAGGACCTGCCCAGCCACCCTTCCAGGGAGCCCAGAGCAGCCCCAGCCCCACCATGTGCCCAGACCCTTTGCCAGACCTGAGCCACCCTCTGTCCATCCCAGAGGCTGCCGGGGGCCTGGGAGTAGCTCCGCGGGGAAGGAACAAAGCAGCAGGCAGTGGGACGTGGGGTTTTATTTCATTTTATCCAAGTACCTTTGAAAAGATCATTGTACAAGTCAGCACATGAGAATGCAGAGGAAACGTCGCCGGGGCTGCGCGGCCGCTGTACATATTTACAGGGACCCCCGAGAAAAAAGGGGGAGACGGAAATCCCGGGCACGTTAACAACCTCACCAGACACACCACCATCAGAACTTCAAAAAACAGGGAGCAAACCCCCTTGAAACGCTGTTCCCGGGCTGAAAACATCTGCAGATTTTGATGGACCTCACGTAGCATTTTAGGCAAGTCCCAGGACCGTGTTTTAAAGGCACTCGGTGACATAAACAACAGGCTGAGTCGCGTCCCGACGCAGTGCCACGGGGTCCCCGGCAGCCCCAACACTGCTGTGGCTGAGAGCAGTGCTGGGCAGGGCGAGCACTGATGGGGAAACCCCCCGGCTTTGGGACCATCCCCGTTTCTGTGGGTGGGCAAGGGCTGGTCTCTGAAGGAGCTGGCACAGTCGCGGCCACACCGGAGCAGCAGGGCCCGGGCTGGGGACAGGCAGGGTGGTGGGAGCACCGGCACAGCCCAGGCTTCCTTGCAACTGAGTAAGCCCAGGAGGCTTCCCAGGGTTCTGGCTGCCAGCTGGGTGATCTGGCCCTAAGTGAGCCTCACAAACTGGCATCAATAATCTCCCTGGTGCAGTGCCCTCCTGCTGCCTCCCCTGAGACACAGAAGCTGACAAAAGATGCAGGACTCATAAAAAAATGTATTTTGTCCTCAGCTTTAGTGTCTCACAGTTCCCTCCCTATTGTGGTTCTCCTAAAGAGTTCCCTGCCCAATGCCAGAGCTTGGCCCAGGGGTCTGGGCGTGTCTGCACCAGGCACATGGGTGCCAGCACCTTCTCCAGGGGCACACAGGGGACACACACATGAGCATGCAGGCCATGGGATGCCAGCACCCAGCCTGCCACCCCAGCTCCCAGCTGGTCCTTGCTCTGCAGGGAGCACTGACCCTTTTATCCCTCGGGGATTTACTCGGTCGCAAGGAAGCTCAGGAGGAAAAAAAAAAGACCCATCCTACCATATCCAGCAGCTGAGCCTGCCAAGGAGGCCAGAGACTGACTCCTTCCAAATGGCTCAAAAATCTTCACAGCCCCTTGGGACCCTTCCATGTGGGGTGACAGCTGCTCTGCCCCAGGGTGCTCCAGAGCCATCCACGCAGGGAGAACGGGGCAGGGTGCTGGGAAAGCACGGAGCAGCCGGAGTCTGACGGATGGCTGTACACTTTGGGCGAGTTCTGCAGTACCTGTATGTTTTACATTTACATAAGAGCACTGTGACATTGGAAATATTTTCCTTTTATTACAATATATCAAAAATATGCAGCTTTAGTAAACAAGGTCATATTACACTTTCTAATGCACTGTACAATGCTACATTACACTTATATTCGGTATGGAGAGGGAGCCCAGGCTCCCACTGGCAGGTTCATGGGGTGAAACGGCATCCACTGGCATCCTGGAGCTTGCCCAGGTCCGTGCTGGAGGGCGGGGCTGCCGCTCTCCACCCTGGGCTCGCCCGGTGCCCGTGGCAGCAGCACCACCAGTGTCTGCCCCAGGCCTTCTCCTCCGGTCCCAGAGTCCTTCACAGTCCTGTCCTCACGCCTCGGCTGCCCTGGAGCCTTAGTCAATCTTCTCCACCTTCCCAATGATCTTCTCCTCGAAGATGGGCAGGATGGTGTCGTCCTCCCGCACCTCCTCGAAGACCACACCACAGTCGAACTCGTCACTCACCTTCTTGAAGTAATACCTGCAAAAAGAGGAACATGGTGGGGCAGAGGGAAAAAAAATGCAGCTGAATGGTCTTGGGGCATCACGGTCCTCAAACCTGGGTACAGCCCTTCCATGGCCCTGAGCTCGTGGTGCGTGGGAAGCTGCTCCCCCAGACCTGGAGGCAAACGCCCCTGCCCTCACCCAGTGAGCACCCACAGTGGTCAGGATCCATGCTAGCACAGTCAGGAGCTCCAGCCCTGAATCCAAGTCCGTTCACACCTCTCCTAAAAATAGTGGCTGAGGCACCTGTGTTGGTGGAGCATTTCTAGGCAGGCTTTCCCATGGCCACTCCTACTTGGAAGGGACAACTTGGAGAACTATATGCTTCTCACTTGGCTGCTTTGGGACTCTGGCAGGACCCAACCTCCCTGTCCTCACCAAAATAAACTCTGGGAGGAGCCAAAACAGCTCTGAAGTCAGAGGGTCCCCACAGCATCACTGAGCATTGGCTGATGCTGCTGCTTACCAGCCCAGGACACCGCAGGGCAGCTCAGCAGCTTCTGCTGGAGCTGCAAACCATGATGCAGGACATTTCTGCTATAAAACCCGACCTCCCTCACCCCTGTAACCTGCCTCTTCAGCAGCCACATCCCCACCACAGCATTCTGAGAGGGAAACCTCCTGACGGACCTCCACCAAGCTCCTTCACCTTGGTGGGGGTGCCACAGTGGCATCTGCCGGGGATCGCTGGCAGTTGCTGGCACCACACCACGGGTGGGGAGCAGCCCTTACCTGTAGTTCCCTTTCTTGGTGAGCAGCTCCTTGAACTGTCCCAGGGTGACCACGCGCCCCTTGACCAGGGTGCGGTAGGGGATGGGCTCTCCACAGAAGTAATAAGCGACCACGATGTTCTCGCAGGGCTGGGACGCGCCGCTGCCCGGCCTCTTCTGGGGCTTCAACCTGCCGTGCCAAGACACAAGGGACACGCTGAGTATCAGCCCACAGTGCTCAGCACCATCGTGTTATGTGCCTGGGGCTGCCCAGGGGAGAGGTGTGGGTCAGGTCCCGCCAGATGGGCTGCAGGAAGTGCAGTGCAGTCCCTGAGCATGCCCTGCTCCAACCACCAGCCTCTCCCGGCATCCAGCTGAACACTGAGGCTGGTGAAGGAGCAAAGAGCACTTGGGAAGGCTGGATGGCACCCAGGACACGGTTCTAACTCAATCCTGAAGAAACCTGTCCTCAGGCTTTGAGAGGGCACAGCCCTGCTCATAGCACAGTTTGGGGAGTCACTGGTAAGCTCTGGGCCAGGCAGAACACCCCAGGCCCGTGGCAGTAGACCCGGGTCACCCATCATCACCATCTCACCACGCTCCTGGTGCGCATCCACGCAGGGCTGGAGCGTCATCCTGCAGGGCATGATCGTGCAGACACTGCTCAGACTGCTCGGGATTGTTGCCACCATGACCAAAACAGCTCAGCATGGCTTTCCACTGAGCTACATCTGCAGACAGGGCTGCCCCACGGCTCCCCCGGACACCTCTCCCAGTGCAGATGAGGTCAGAGGGAATGGAGCTCCCAGCAGGGTGCCAAGGCAGCTGCCATCCCCAAAACCTCAGTGACTTTATACCTCCTGTGTTTTTCCTGCTCTCAGAACGCTGGTCTGGTCTCTGTTTCCAGCCCACACATCGGGGTTCAGCTACGTGGCGCCATCACTAGACCAAAAACATCAGCCCAGCCCTCACCCCATTTTCAGAGACAGACAAAGGCAGCAATAACAAAACTCAGGGTACTTTGCCCTTCTGCAGAGCCTTTCATCTGGGGTGCCGAGGACGCTGCACAAACATTGGAGCAGCCTACACAAATTGGTACCTTGGCATGCGTGGTCTGAGCCAGAGGCAGCCTTCCCTTTCAAAGGCACATAAAGCACATTTGGCAGCTTTAAAAAAAAATTATTTTAAAAGCACGCTGGATAAAAAAAGATGATTTTGTATTTACATGACTGGAAAGTTGCTGTAAAGAAACAGAATTTGCCAAGCACATGAGGTAATCGCAGTTTTGGAAATGACTCTGACCTTAACCTTTAAACACTGGCTGGCGGGCAGAGCACCTTTTCATGGCGTGCCCACATAAACACTGGCACTGCAAACCAACACCAGACAGAGCTTTTTCACCTCCTCCTACAGGCATGAGAGGTCTAAAGTTCAACTGAACAACCTTCCGGGTGCCTGCTCTGGCTGCGAGACCTTTGGAGAAGATGCAGCATCCTGAGAGGAAAGGGTCTGCTCCTGGTGCCAGCAGAGCTCTCGGAGCCTCTCCCATCCCTGTATCAAAGCACAGGATGCCCTTTAGCTAGAAAAACATTAAGGAATTGAGTCATCCTTGGAAAAAAAAATACAAAGCATTTAAAGGGAAAATGGGTCATAAATTCAGGCAAATTCTGTGAACCCTGTGAGCCAGAAGTTAATTGAAGGGGTTTGGAAAACCTCAAAGTCCCTAAGCTTCTCTTAATCCTGCTAGAGACAAGTCATGACTAAGAGATGTGTGCCTGGGGACCTGGGGACACAGTGAAGTGCCTG